TAAAACCAAGCTTTTATGTGCTCTTTCTACTGTTTTTAAAGGGTGGGGATGTTATCCATGAAAGAATTTCAGTCCCTAGAACTTGACTATGAAGTTGGAGGTCACTCCTGAGTGGTGCTGACGTTTTGAGTCTCACCCACTGATGTAATTAAACAAGCCTTAACTTTTAAGAGCACCGAATTATGATGTTAGACTGTTAGGATTGTATTGTTTTTTTACCCTTCCAGTGTTATTAATGCTCACACACTTGAGGTATTCTTCCAGCTTTGGTTTTGTTCCCTTCCCTTTCCCCTGCCATATTTCCTGATCTTCATCACTAAGAGGGGCAGGAATTGCCTGCGGAGGCTTTTCCCGTCGCTCCGTGTGCGTTCCCGTGCCGCTCTGTCACTCGCTGCTCTCACGGTGTCCCCTTGCTGTCCCCAGCACGCTGGAGCACCTGAAGCGCTGGCTGCAGCCTGACAAAGTGGCCATCAGCTCCGAGGAGGTGCAGTGCCTCATCCCGCCGGAATCGCAGCCGGAGAAGCCGGAGGCCGAGGAGGAGCCTCCGGCTGCGGAGCAGTGAGAGCCCCGGGGCTGCCTCTTGTCCCAGCCCCCAGGAGGATGTACCCAGCCACAGGAATAGCAGGAAGGGGGCACAGAGCGAATTATCAATAATTGAAAAAGTAATTTTTAAAAGAAAGAACGCCCGACACACCAAATCCCAGCTCTGGAGCTCCGCAGACAGCGACTGGCGCGGGGAGGGCCGAGAGGGAACGCCTGGGACACGGCTGAACCCAAACCTCACGGTGATCTTCTCCAGCCTGCAGCCACCTCGTCATTCCAGCCTGGATGTGGATTGTTTGGGATCCATCAGGAGACACATTAAACAACAACAACAACAAAAGCAGTTGTGGTGCAGAAGCACCAGGAAACATCACGGTCCAGAATGGAGCAGAGAAACCGCTGAATCACTTTGGTCCTGTCTTTTACCTTTTCATTACTCACCTGGGCATTTTTTTCCTCTCCTGCCAAATCCACTTTGGTGTTTTCTCCAGATCTTCACTGTTTCAGTCTGACTTGGCCCCAAGCTGTGCCAGGAAGAAGATGGATGTTTCCCACCTCTGTGAATTTGGGACCCTGGAGGAAGCTCTCACTGCAGTCAATAAATTGATGTTGTCTTTGTAGCTATTGTAGCTACTTCACATTCCTCTCTGTATTGTACCCCCTAATATCCCACTTTATTGCCCAAAATCTCTATTACAGATTGTAGGGGGAGTATTTTTTCCTCTTGTTGGTCGTTTTGTACCTGTTCAGCCTCTCTAGAAAAAAAAATGAGATGAGATTCTGTATTGGGAAACCAAGAGGGGTAGCCAGAGGGGCTACAGACAACTTGTTTTCATCACAGAATTGCATAGAATTCTCTGACTTGAAATACATTTAGTATTAAATTGTTTTTTCCACCCTGCTTAACTCTTCAAAGGCTTATTCCCTTTTATTAATCCAAGAGTCTGTGATTTTGTGCTGATTTTCGCTGATCTGTGTGTTCTGCCCTGATACCAACACTGGGGGTCGGTAGAGGGAAGCAGCACAGTCTGTCAGAGCTTCTTCGGGGAAATTGCGGTTCTAGGAGTTAATCCTCACAGGATTCATGCCGTGTTCATTTATGGATCTGTTTGAAAATACTTTTTTAGGAGTAAATTTTTGCTGGAGCCTCCCAGTTTCCTGTCTCTGTACCCAGACAGGGGCACTGCTCTCTCAGTCACCACTCGGAGGTTGTTCCCACCATCAGCTTTCCTGGTGTAACTCCCACCCCAGCTCACCTCCCAAGAAAGTCACACTCAGAATTCTCCATTAAAACAATCCCTTGTTTTTTAAGCCTTGAGGAATGGGGTGAATCATCTGGGTGCCAGTGATGTCTCGCTGATTTGGTCATTAAATGTCCCTTTTAATTTATCCTTTAACTGTCCTTTATTATGTTAAGTCTGTGTCCCTGTGCAGATCTCTCTCACCTGATGTAACAAAGCTGTGACAAAGATGCAGAACTCTGAGCTCTTCCCAGAAATGGTTTGTGCAGAGAGACAAAGCAGCAATTTCTCTGTCCCCAGACGATTTCCCAGTCAATAAAATTCTTCTCATGGTAGCAAGCACCGTGAGGATGCTTTATGTTATCTTATCTGTTCTTAAACATATTTGAGGAAGAAATGTACCCAAAAGAACTGTGCTGAAATAATTCCACATCCACATCACCAGGCATTTCCTCTGGAGAAGGGACCTGAGGGAACAGCTCTTATCATTTCATTTGTAAAAATAATAACCATTCCAAGATTCTCTGAACTGCTCTCTGGAAACATGTGTGGGGCAAAAGAAAATCCAAATGATAATTGCAAAGTGTGGGCAATAATTTCCTTAAATTAATCCTTTAAGTAGAGTTAACTTTTTTCCCCCTCCCATACATAATAAATATAGTTACATAAATATATATAGTTAAATTATAACCACGATTATAGACTTGGGGTGGGTCTGTAGTTAAATCACCATAAAAAAAACCCTTTAAAACTTCTTTACAAAATCACTGAATCTGTGAATAGGAGTGTGATGTGTTCCAGCAGGGTTGTTGCACTTGGTGATGGCACACATGATTTGAGTAGCAAGGGCTTTACCTGCCAATATTGGGGTTTATTTTGGGGCAAAAACAGGCTGCTGAGCTCCCCTCCACCAAACCAGCTGTTGCTGGTAAAAGCAGCAGCCTCACCAGGGGTGGGTTTTGCTTCTACAGCAACACCAGTCTCCCTCTGTGTGGAAACAGCTCCCACAGAGGGAGAATTGTTGAGGCTGGAAAAACCCTCTGGGATCATGGAATCCAAGCCCAGCACAGCTGAGCCCACCCGTGTCCCCAAGTGCCACAGCCACACGGTCCCCCCAGGGCTGGGGACTCCACCCTTGCCCTGGACAGCCTGTTTTTAACAGTTTAACCCAGAGGAGACATCAGTGACATCTCAGGGACAGAGAAAGGGCCCATCCTGCAGAGCTGCAGCCACAGTGCCTGGTGGCATCAGGTCCAGACCATGAGGCACAGGCAGGTACAGGGAATGACTTCCAGGCAGGATAAATGAGTAAATCACAAAGGAAACAGCAGCCCCCCTCCCCTTTGTAGCTTTTAAAGACAATATTTTACCTTTTCCTCTGCATGAAACATCATTTTCTGTACCCCTGGAAGCCAGTGGGGAGCCCATGTGGTGAGGGAGCCCCAGCCTGGCAGGGCTCTGCTTTCAAAATGGGGCAGAATAAAGTATCTAACACAACTCACCTGCTGCCCTGTCAGAGCGAGGGGAGGGCAGGGCTGACAGAGCACTTTGGGCAGCAAGGAAAGGCTCCCACCCATCCAAATGGGAAAAAATGTTCTTCTCCACAAGCTTGGGCCAAAGGAATCATCCCACAGAAGCATGAGCTGGCAGCACCCTGCGGTGCTGCTGAGAATCACAGAATTCCAGGATAGTTTGGGGTTGGAGGGTCCTCAAAGCTCATCCAGTTCCACCCTGTGCTGTGGGCAGGGACAACTTCCACTAGCCCAGGCTGGCTTTGGACACTGCAGGGATGGGGCAGCCACAGCTTCCCTGGGCACCCTGTGCCAGGGCCTCAGCACCTTCACAGAGAAGGATTTTTTCCCTATATCCACTCCAAACATTCCCTCCTTCAGCTTATGGCCATTAAATATTCCATCCTCCTCCAGAATTGACAGGGTCTCAAGGATCTCTGGTTATTTCTAAAAAACCACCCTGGTGACATGGGAAAGAATAAAAATCACAGCAAACTGGTTCCTGTCCATCATCTGTACGGGATGGGAGGGACACCAGGATGCTCAACCATCAGGGTGGGCTGCAGCCTCCAAACCCATCCTTGTAGCCCTGAGCCAGGACCTGGGGTGGGGCAATACGAGCTCTGGGAATAAGACTGATTTATTCTGCAGGCTCTGGAAGCAGCAAAGATGATGGCAAAGAAGGTTTTTCCGGGATGAGCCCGTGCAGAGGGAAGAGCCCCCAGCGGTGCAGCCGGGTCACCCTGGCCATGGCACATCCAGGCGGGGATGGAGCCTGTGCCTGCCTTGGGGCGTGCTCATCATCCTGCTGTCGGCTCCACAGCCCAGCTCTCCTCCCAAACCAGCCTCTGGCTCTCCTAATCTGATTGTTCTGCTCTTTAAAATTAACAACAGCTCTCGTCAGGCACTGATATGGAGACAAAGATGATTTTCTTCCTGCTGATTATTCGGCAGGAGTGAGCAGTCTCCCCTCGATCGGCTCAGCCAGCTTTAATAACCAGCCCAGCTCCATCAGATTGGGATGAATTAATCACTGTCTTGCACCAAAACTCTCAATTTTCCGTGACTGCTCTGCAAATTCCCATTCCCCTTATCCCCACAAAATTCCACTGGATGACCATTATCTACCATTTCCCCTTATTTAAGTAAGGCTGACCCTGGTACCCTTTCTTACTGGGGCAATTCATGACGGCTGGACCGCCCTCACTCCATCCTGCACTTGCCCCCACCAGCTGGGCCACCAGTACCCCGGGGCTGGGTGCCCATCACCCCACGGCTGGGCCACCCTCACCCCCCTCTTCCCTCACCCCGCTTTCCCCCCTCTTCCCTCCCCTCGGGCCGGGACCCCCCGACGGGGCGGGCGCTGCCGCCGCCGGGAGCTCCGCGCGGTCCCTGCGTCCTCTCCGCTCCCTCCCCTCCCTCCCTGCCGGGAGAATGTCCCTGGATCCGGCCCCGAGGGCGAGGGAGGGGCTGCCCGCAGCCCCCCGGTGCTCCCCGCCGGGCCGGGGGGCGGGATGCGGCTCCACCTGCGGAGCGGGGCGGTGGGATGCGCGCGTCCCCCCGGGCACCTGGAACACCGAGCGCCGTGGGTGGGAACGTCCTGTTCCTCCGGGACTCAAAAGCTCAGGCAGCGGGGGGGAAAAAAAAAAAAAAATAAAGACAAAGCAAGACAACAAAAACCCCGCACCACAAAAACGCGGCTGAGCTCGGCTGTGCCGGAGTCTCCCGGTGAACACCCCGCGAAGGGAACGCTCCTCCTCATCCTCACGGGAACACCGGCGGGCAGCGGGCGGCTGCCGGCCCTGAGCACCCCGGACCCCTGGGCAGGTAAGAGCGCTCCGGAGCGGGACAGGGGTCCCGCAGACCCCCCCAAACCCCAGCCAGAGCCGCGGGGCTCAGCAGTGATCAGGAAGGGAGCAGGACGATGCACAGAAGGGTTGGTTTGACTCTCGTGGGTACACGAAGCAGAATTAAAGAATTTAATTGAGCTTCAGATTTTTCATTCTGTAAGTTAATGAGCATTTCGGCTCCTCAGCTGCAAGTTTCCTGATGGATTTTGTGCTCCTGCCCCAGGCAGGGCACGGGGACCTGGAGCTGTGGTATCACAGCGTGCGCCCTGTGAGTGCAGCTGGGATGTAGAAAACCTCAATATCCCTCGGTTAATTACAAGGGTTTCTTAATTAATGCTGATTTGACTCCCCGCTGGGGGGAAGAGACTGTCCAGATCCCGGTAAGGGGGATCAAACAATAATTTTGAGAGTGCGGGGCTTGAAAGAAGGGTCCTGGAGGGGAACTCCTAATTTCCATACACTTTCTGCTGGAATACATTTTACCTCATTCCCCTGTGCAACTCTGACTGGGTTTGTGGAGGTGCCCAGGGAGCCAGGCACTTCCTCCTTCCTTCCCTCCCTCCCTCCCATCACAGCTGCCACAGGGAAAGACAGGAGAAACCAAAGTTTCGTGGGTGATGAAGATATAACCAAGGGGATAAAAAACCTAGTGGGATGGGTTGGGGTGGCAGGGAGAGACACAGGAGTGCAGGGGATGTAGAGTATGCTCCTTTCCCTGCCCAGCCACGAGGCATGGGGCTGGTGGGTCAGGGCAGAATTAACTGGGAAAAGTAAAAGGCAAGAAATGCAGGAGTGTCTTTTTTTTCTGCCTTAAGTCAGCGCAGCTCCCAGGTGCAAACTCCCCATGAGGTTTCTCAAGCTGATTTCTGGGTCCTGCTGCCCCAAGCTGGCAGCTCCCCACAGATCTGTGCTGGCTGCTTCACTGTGTCACAGCCAGTTTCCCGACTCTCCTCCACACCGGAGCTCCTCTGTGTCTGTCACAGGGCATCTTCACACTTAAGCAAGTCATGTAAACCAGCCACTGCCTCAGCACAGGGCTGTGCAAAAGGTCCAGACTCAGGACAGGTCCTTCTGCCCAGAACTTCAACCAGAATGTATTTATGTCCCCCGCAGAGCTCACAGGCTCATCTGTGTTTGATTTTGAGTTGTGGAGGAGCTGCATTGGCCACAGGGGTTCCCATGGCTCAGCTGCCCAATGACTCCTGGCACAACGACTCGGCCCTGGTCTTCACCGGCCTGGACCTGCTCCTGGAGCTGAAGCCGCTCTTCATCCCGCTCTACGCCACGCTGGTGGTGGTGGCGTGCATCGGGAACCTCTTCCTCGTCCTCCTCATCGCCCTCACCAAGAAGCTGCACTGCACCACCAACTTCCTGATCGGGAACCTGGCGGTGGCCGACTTCATCATGTGCCTGGCCTGCGTCCCCCTCACCGTGTCCTACGCCTTCGAGGAGCGGGGCTGGCTCTTCGGCATGTTCATGTGCCACTTCGTCACCCTGCTGCAGGCTGCCACCGTCTTCGTGTCGGTGCTGTCCCTCACGGCCATCGCCATCGACCGCTACGTGGTGGTGGCGTACCCCATCCGCAGGCGGATCAGCCGCCGGGCCTGCGTGGGCCTCGTGGCCTGCATCTGGCTGCTCTCCATCGCGGCCTCCGTGCCCACCTCGCTGCACACCCACTACCTGGACCTCAACGCCATCGGCCACGACATGATCATCTGCGAGGAGTTCTGGAAGCACGAGGAGAGGGAGCGGCTGCTCTACTCGTGCCTGATGCTGCTGCTCTCCTACATGCTCCCGCTGCTGGCCGTGTCCATCTCCTTCTGTGCCATCACCTACCACCTGCGCAGGAGGAACGTGCCGGGCGCCGCCTATCACTGCCAGGACAAGTGGGCCAGGACCAAGCACAAGACCTTCCGGGTGCTCACCATCTCCGTGGTCTGCTTCGCCGTCTGCTGGCTGCCGCTGCAGGTGGTCAACTTCATCCGGGACATCGACGAGGAGTTCACCATCCTGGACAAGAGGTACGTCAACGTCATCCAGGTCTCGTGCCACCTGATCGCCATGAGCTCTGCCTGCTACAACCCCTTCATCTACGCCTCCCTCCACGACAAGTTCTGGTTCCACCTCAGCAGCTACTTCTACCGCAAGAAGCAGAGCTCCAGGAGCATGTCCTGCAAGGCTTCCCGCTTCAACACCTGCTCCACCCTGGCAGACGCTCCCACCGGGGCCTCGGACAAGATAGCTTTGCAGTCCAGGTTACCTTAGCTGAGGGATGGGGTTTGCACAGCCCTACATCCCAAACCACGGCTAGGCCACATCCCTATATCCCGAATCATGGCTGGGTGTCGTAGGTGTCCATACTACATTTGGAGCACAAAGACTTCACCCCGTGCTTTGTGCAGGAGGTGGGTTGGTGTCTGAGCAAGGCAAGCACCCATTGTGTAAAAAACTCTTTGGAGAGCGCACGTCTTCATTTTGTAGGATACAGATTGTTCCTAAGCAACAGGCAGCACTTTGTGCCACGGGAAGAGGTCGACTTGCACAGGGAGCCATGAAATTGCTGTGCATTTATCCTTTAAAATTGTAGCTTACTGGTGAAGGGACAATGTAGGACAATGTGCATTCAGCAGGTGCAGGTGGGGGCACGTGGCTGCTTTGGAATGGGTTTGACTTTCATAACCTGCTTGGCCTGCTGGAGGAGCCACCCCCACAACCAGACAGGGCCATCCCAGTTTCTCCAGCCAAAGGTGCAGGTGCAGCTGGGCACATCCATGAAGTCATCACTGCTCTTCATGGTCAAGCAGGACTGGAAAGATCTCATGTGATGAGTTTGCTGGGAACGATGTCTCAAATTCTGCTGCCAGGGAAGTTCAGCTTGGTGTATGTCCACGTTCAGGGTCCTGCAGTGGAGGTGAGAATCCCAGTGCCAGGCTGTTCTGCCCCAGAAGCTGCCAGATGAAGGGTGGGTTTGCTTGTCAGTGCTCCTCGGTGTCTGAAGTGCTCTGTGGCCCCTCAGGCTGCTCTGTGCAAGCAGCCCATGCAGAAGGCAGCTTCTCCTTACACCCCATCCCCATCTAGGTTTTAACCTCTCGATTTCCCAGGAGAAACCCTTGGGAACAGCCCGCAGGCACCACAGCTCAGGGCTGTGCCAGCTCCAGCTGCCCTGCTCTGTGGGGCCAAGCCGTGACCTCCCACCACTCCTCGTGCCCCAGGACAGGATTTCAAAGCCCCAGGCAACAGGTCTTGAGCCCTGCACTGAACCTGCCCAAGGCACTGGCCAGCATCCCTGCTTCTGCCAGCAGCTGGGGAGCACCCGGTGCAGACACAGCTGCCTGGAGCCCAACAGGATCCCTCACCCCCTCCCCTGATGCCCGCCCAAAACTCACTCACCTTCTGGCTCAGGCCCTCATGGTGGCCCTAGAAGGACTCGTCATCTTCTGTGGGGTGACCAGCCGAGACAGGGACCCATCCAAGGCAGTGCCAGTGACCTCTGTCGTGTTCCCACAGAGCAGCTCCCTCCTCACCTTCCTGCAGCTCCCCTGGGCCTGGGCTGCTCATCCCAGAGGAGCCAAGCAAGGCAGAAGGTCCCTGTTTGTCCTTCCTGTAATAAAGGCTTCAAGAGCTTGGGCTCTGTGTGTGTGTTGATGTGAATCCCACAAAACCCTTGACTGCAGCTCAGCCACATCCCAGGACGATGCCAGCTTGGATTGATTGGCTCTGTCCCAGTCCTGGGCAGTGGCAGATCCTTGGGGGTCAGGCTGGCATTAGTGCTGGACCAGGTTGCTCCAAGCCCCAAACAACCTGGCCTTGGACACTTCCAGGCATGGAGCAGCCACAGCTTCTCTGGACAACCTGTGCCAGGGCCTCACCATCCTCAGCCAAGAATTTCTTCCCAGTATCCCATTTAACTCTGCCCTCTGTCTGTACTGTCACTGCTGGTGTTGATTCCTTCTTTCTTCATTTTGTCCCATCACAATCTCAATTACTTCACTCTTAATTAAAACCCCTAGGTTTCCCTAAATTACTTTTCTCAGCCTTTTTTCCCTCCAACTCTACCATCCTCTCATTCCCATCCCTGCACTTACCTGCAGGACCATTTAAAATCCCTATACCCATCTTGTAGAACTGATCCTCAAAGAGGATGAGGTTTCCTCTTCCATGTTTCCAGACTAGACTAGAATTTGCAGTTATTGAGCACTGGGAGAGAAAATCTCCACCCTCAGGTCCCCCTGTTTAGATGTTTTGCTGATTCCCCAAATTACCTGCAGGAAAAGGGAAAACTATTTTGGGAGAGTGAGCTAAAAGCTGAGTGACTTCTGAGAATAAACACAGAAATCCTGGAGCTGCAGTCTGTGATTCACAGAAACTGGATATATAGAGGAGAACACGGTTGGTTTTCTTAATGAAAGTAAATTAATCAGATAAATGAGGGAGGAAAACATGTTTGAAGGCTGATTCTGCAGAGCTTTCCTCAGGAAACTGCTCGAAGCTTTTCTCCCAGGAACCAAGAGGTATAAAGGGGATATTTTTGTTAAATCATCCTCAATTATTAAGAGCTTTGCACAATATTCTCCCTGAGGCTGTTTCTTCCTCCAGACTCTCTTGTTGGCTGAAAGAGGGTGGATAACAGTTGGACTCGATGATCCTAAAGATCTTTTCCAACCTAAACAGTTCCATTCTGTGACCCTCTTCTCTACCAGGATTTGGTGCCTGTAGCCCTCCCATCTGCCAGGACACAGCCCAGGAAGGGAAAATATTGGTTAGCCTGCTCAGGTGCTTACAGCTTTAAGGGGCAGATAATATAATTGGGGCAGATAATATAATTTATTCCAGTGATGTTCTCTCAAAAGCACTCAAGAGATGATTATTTGAAAGAGTTTACCTACAAGCAAGGTATTATTCCCATTATTTGGTCCCCATCCAGGTTTCTCCCATGGCTGCAGATGATGAGGCCCTTTGTCCTGCACTGCAGAATGAATTGAGATGAGGATCAGCTCTAAATGCACTCAAAGGATCAACACTGTTTTCATGTGTACTCCTAGAAATTTCCTCCTCTGTCTCCAAATCAGGCACAGCAAACAAAATTAGCCTGGTAATTTTCCATTGACTTTTAGTCCCCTTCTTGCTGTGTTTGTTCTGTCTGGATGTCACTAGTGATGACAAAAATCCAGAACAGAGAAGCTCTTCCACTGAGCCAGGATCATTGGGCAAATTTTATTTGTGGGTCTGGAAAAAGCTTAGAAATTGCTGATTCATTTTATATTATTATCATCATCATCACCATCACCATCATCATCATCATCATCACTATCACTATTTCCTAATTTATTGTGAATAACATTCTGACTCAAGTCACTGCTTCTGATTTCCTTGACAGGGCTTGCAAAATATCTTTTGCATTTCTCTGAGAAGATTCCATGGGCTGTACAAACCGTGGCCAACTCTCTTCCCAGATCTTGGCTCTGGTTAAAGAGGCAGGTTTGTGACACGTACATGATTAAATCAGGCTTAATTTCACTTCTTTTGGCTAAAAGCACAGTTGATGCAGCTCAGGCTCACAGTAATGACCTGGAATGGGTCCTGGTTTGGGATGGAAGGGATTTTAAATCCCACCCAGGTCCACCCCCTGCCGTGGGAGGGACAGCTTCCAGCAGCCCAGGTTGCTCCAAACCCCATCCAACCCGGCCTTGGACACCTGGGGCTGGATCCCACTGGATCAGGCAGACTGAGCACCTTCCTGTGGACATCACCTCTCTGTGAACTGCTGCATCTTCCAGCATTGTTGAATTATTGAAAGCACCACAGGTGATTTATGGATGTACCCACTTCCAGCTCATCCCGTATTCCCCCGGTGCCTCCTCCTCCTCCTCCTGCTCCTCCGTCGCTGCGAGCGCTCACACTTTAATTTCTGTGAGCGCAGCGAGCTCTCGCTGCAGCAAATTAACCAAGATTTCCTAAACCCCAGTTTACTCCTCATTCATCTATTTTATCCGTCATCCCGCTCCCGCTGCAGATGCCAAGAATCTCCTTAGTCACACACCAGGGTCACCGTGCCCCAGCTCGGGCACAAATCTGGCATTTACCACACTTCGTTCACCACTGCTCCCCAAGGTGATGGCGAGGGATGGGGCGCTTTGGGCCAGTCCCCAAAAACCTGCAGACACATCCCTGGCTTGGTGGCACTGCCCGGGACTCTCCAGCATGCCAAAGATGGAGCAGGGCTGGGAGACACCCCAAACCCCTCCCGCTCACAGCATCATTTCCACTGCAGGTTAATACCCGATTTGGAGAGCCATGAGGGAGACACAAACATTTGCTGCAGCAGGGATGGATGGAGTCATGCCACAGCCCCTGGCAGCAGGGGATGCTGCAGCCAGGGCTGTCTCCAGCCCCTTCCCGGCTGTGATGAGCGGGATGAGGCGTGCGGGGACGGGCGCTAATTCCACAGACGAGCTGAGCGCTGATTGCCACGCAGGGAAGCGCTGCCGAGCGCCTCTGGGTTGCCATAGGAACCATCAGCCCCCCTGGGAAAAGCCAAATCACTGGATCGGCGGCTTCTCTGGCGGGGACAGCGGGGGGCTCTGCATGGTGACACCCTCCCGCTCAGGAATGGAACCAGGGCAGCCTCAGGGGGTGAAAGGCGGCGCTGGGGATGCCTGAGGCTCCAGGGATACCTTGGAGCCCCTTCCCGTGCCTAAAGGGGCTCCCAGAGAGCTGCAGGGGGATTTTGGACGTGGGGTGACACGGGGGAATGGCTTCCCACTGCCAGAGGGCAGCGTGGGAGATTGGGAAGAAATTCTTCCCTGTGAGGGTGGGGAGGCCCTGGCACCGATCACCCAGGGAAGCTGCTCCATCCCTGGAAGTGTCCAAGGCCAGGCTGGACGGCCTTGGAGCAAGCTGGGATGGTGGGAGGTGTCCTTGCTCAAGGAAAGGGGCTGGAATGGGATGGAATGGTAGGTCCTGGCAGAGGAACAAAGGGTTCCTGCAGATTTTGCCAGGGCTCTGAAGGGAAAGTCTGCATTGCTGAGAACGGGCAGGATGTTGATAAAGCTCCCAAGTCTAAACTAGGATCCTCGCAGCTCTTTATCCCAAAAAAATGTGGCCAAAAAGAAGATATTGCAATAATCCCACTGGGTTGCAACAAGAACCTGGGCAAATGGATGAATTTTCAAGATTCACCCTCAAACTCACCCCAAAGCACAGCCTGCTCCTTCTCAGCTCATCAGGAACCATCACCTCCTGGGCCACCCTGAGCCAAAGCAACACCTG